GAAAAGTTCATACCGTTTTTCAGTTTGAAAATACAAGGGGAGACCTCTTGCTTGATGATCTCCCGTGAAGAGAAACAGAAAATATTCTTGCAACAGCAAATACCGTTGGGGAAACATCAAGCGGTAACAATTACAGGTCAAAAACACAGGGGTGCCAAAAGGACAAATATTGGATGAGACTGCTATTAAAATAAAAAATCCAACCAAGGCTTTCATGCGCACATAGACGGAACTGGTTACCGGGGATGGGCGGGGAAGGACGGGAAGGGGGAGACTGGTTAGACACCTGTCAACTTGGGTGAAGCGGGAGAGCCTGCCTACAAGCGGGACGCGGAGGAAAGCAGTTGGGCGGGGCGGGGGCGGGTGACTCTTGATTGGGGGGGCGGGGGATGGGGCAGGGGAATCAGGGACGCCATTAGGAAGTTTGGTACCTTGTTGAATGCAGGAGTGGTGACCTGGTCCGTAAACCCTGCCCCCTAACGTGGCACTGAAATGTTTAAAACAAAATGATGGAGGCCAGGGAAGACCCTGGGAGGCAAGTACTGTCATTCACCCTCCTCCCATCCGGGGTGACCCAGGAGCCAATGCCTGGATAGACCAGCAGGCTGAACAGGTGTGGGAGAGACGGCGGGCGCATACCCAGAAAATACAGAGCACGACATATATCTGTGTGTGTGTGTACACGATACACACTACACACACACAAGTGTGTGTTACACAGAGGATGTCCACAAGTGTGTGATTTACCTTTCCCCCAAACACATACCCACGAAGGTGGCAGAGCACACCTGATGACAAAGCCTGAGACACAAAACTTAGCACCTTGAGGAGACAGACGGGTTGCTCGACTCGGGACCACAGTCTCAGGGACCCCAAGCCCCATGGGCATAACCGACTGCGCAGGACTGTGTTCCGCATCCCACTGTGGTGAGTGGCACCTGGGACCTGGAAAAGCACATGGGCAGCATCTTCGGTGCCAATATTCACCTGTCCCAGCCCCGAGGAAAGAAAAGTGAACAGAAAGAGAAAAACCACATAGAACGAATTCGTATCGTGGACTAATGGGTCTTGCAGACCTGTGTCCACAAGCCTGATGCCAGAAGTAGACGGTGTCCGGCTACCCCAGCCACCGGCTCTGCAGAGGAACCACAGGGGAAGATCTTACGTCAAGCAGGTGAAGCTTGTGGGGCAGAGCTGTGGGAAACAGAAAGATCTCCCCAAGTCGTGCCCCCCAAATGTATGTTAGACTCAGGACACTGCTTGCAGCTAATGGTAAATGATGGTCAAGTGACCTCCCTGAAGGCAGTCAGTTGCCAGACTACTGTCTGGACTGTAGAGCCCACTCCCTGCTGTTAAGGACTCCTCCCTAAAGGCTTGTGACCATTAGCGTGGTCCCTGGTCCCTGTAGATGGGGTTTACACCCTACTGCTAGGGGTTTCTATGGAGATCCAGAGAACAGGTCAAACCTGCTCAGTGACATCCAAAGTTAGGGGGCCATCCTGAATCTAGGATCTGCCCATCTTGTCACAGGTGTACCCCCAATCCCTCCTCTTCCTATTGTGCGTATGTCCCTAGATTGTCCCCTCTCATTGCTGTATAGCCTATAGTGCAATCCCTTCCTGTGACGTATGTCTTTTACCTGTAATCACTGGGCTTGCACTGCCCCCAAACGTATCTGGGTGAGCAATAAAGAGCTCTCTCTCAGGCTCCCCTCTTGGCCTCTCATCGGCTCCCCCTCTCCCCAGTCCTCCCTCCCCTGTTCCTTTCCTCTTGTCCTCCTTCCCCTCCCCCTCTCTCCAGCCCTCCCACGTGGACCACCAAGCGGGGCTGAGGAGAGCATGCTACCATGAAATGTGTCTGACTCCATTATTTCTCTCTCTTCTATCTCTCGTGCTCGCGATGACTTTATTACAACATTTATATATCTCAACCGTACAATAGCGCCTATCGAACCCGCGATTAGTGGTGGGGGGCTGGCCCCCCCCCACCCAGAGCTCAAAAAATCAGAAAAGAGAGCACCCCTGTTGTTCAAACAGAGACTGGGGGGACCCCTCTGGACTATGGTCCGTAGTCAGGCCTGTAACTGCTAGAATCACCGAGTGTTGATCAAAAGAGCGCTACCCAAAGGCAGAAGGTCAGGAAAGGTGGGGTGAAAACATCCAACACCAACAGGAAGGGGGGTGAACAGCGGTGCAGCGAGTGGACTGAAAGGGAGAGGTCATCTGAAACAAAACGTGGACGAACTATTGAATGTAAACCTGATGACCTGTTCGGGAAATCTTCATCTAGGTGGGAACCTTTTTTTTTTTAAAATGATCATAGGTAAGAATGAGCAATGAATAGTAAACTCACTAGGCACAAACATAATGAAAAACAGTGTCTGTTGTCTGTAGAGATCTGTGGGTAATGTTACCATCCTTTGAGAAATGTACTAGCTGCGCATGGTGGACTTACCTTCACGGCAGAAAAGAACGCTAAGGAAATGCACCAATCCAAGAACAGACAGGACACTCTCAAAACCAAATACGAGCGCATTTAATCGCACATAAAACAGCATCAAGAAAAACACTAGGAAATAGAAAACCACAATTCGCTTGAATAAAGGAAGTAGGCGAGAAGCCTTTTCGATGGAACTATTCTCTTTCAAAGACACAACACAGCACTAACAGGTCCCCTGTGAGAGCAGCTTCCTGCCCACCGAGAAACGCTGATCTCTCGTCCCCGACTTTTGTGCATGTGCTGTTTGAAACGAGAGCAGTTAGGAGGATGCTTCCCAATTCCGAAGCAGTGGTGGTGTCTTGAGTGTTGTGTTTTCTTCTCCAATCCAGTGCTTAACCACAGCTGCTCTGGGACATTGGTTGAAATCCCTGCCGCAAGTCAGCATTTCCCCCATTTCCCATGGAACCAGTCTCTCTGACTTCCCATCCCTGCCGCGTTTGGGCAAATGCTGCCCCTCGGGTCGGGTATGGGAGAACCGGGTGAACGCTGACCTCTGGGAGTATCTTCAATTTAAAGGTAGAAGGCTGCCTCAGTTTCCCCTATTCTCTCTCAGCTCGTTCCGTGTGGTGATTTGATTTTGAATTTTGTTCTGTATTCTTTTTATCCATTCGGATCGGGACCTTCCTATTGCGGTCTGACTCGGTGGTTCCTAGCTGTCACCGGGCACCATTCCAGCTCTTTGGATCTCAGGTGCAAGGAGAGTGTGGCTCTTGGGCTCCATCCGTCCTCCAGACACACGGCATCCTTGAATCTCCGATTTGTTTCCTTCTCATTTGCTCCAGGTGGGAAGAGAACAACAGTTGCTTCGTAAAGGGCCAAATGCAAGCTTTGAAGACCCTGGCGGATACACCTCTGACCGGGCTGTCTAACACGTTCTCAGTGGATTGTGTTTGGCAGATGGACACTAAGTGTCCTCTGGAACTATGCAGCCCCTAGTGTTCAAGTCCAGCAGTTCCATTTGAAACACATAAGTGTTTTCTAAATCGGTGCTCCCTCTAGTCTCTATTCTATGCATACGAAAATATGTGCACTTGTAAATAGAAGTATTCATCATAAACTATACTTGGGAGCTATCAAAGACTGGTAAGTGTCAAAGAATAGTATTTCTGCAAACACAAACCAACAACATTCTTGGCTGTTCATAATAGCGTTCTCATACACTCCTCTTTGCCCTCTGGAGTTTAACGTATTCACTTCAGCATGTCCTCCGGGCTGATCCAAGTTGTGAGATGGTTTGCAGATTCATCATCATTCCCCACCAGTGCATGATATCCACGGCATGTATATGCTACGTATCCTGTCTATTCACCCACCGACGGGACATTTTGGGCTGTCTCTACGTTTCTGCTCAGTTGAGTCATGATGCAACGAGCCTGGGTGTGGAGGTGCCTCATTGTGTCAGGGTTTTGTCTCTCTAGGGCTATCTACCTCGAATGGAGAGAGCAGGATTGTTTGTGTCTAGTTCTACCTGTTAAGGAAGCAGTATCATGATTTGTACAGCAGAGGTATCCCCTTCACAAGCCTCTCTAGCAACAGTGTGTAAGCGCCCAAAGGTACCCAAAGCCGTTCGGGCAATCAGCATTCTCTCTTTTTATAAAGCAATGTCACGATTGCTGGGGTGAGACAGTATCTCATGAGACGGTATCTCATCTTACTTGTCTCTCCCATGACTAAGCATCTCAGGCATCTTTACATGGACTGGTTAGTGCCCTGAAGGTCCTTGTGGTAGGAGTACTTATGTCCTTTGTCCATTTTTAACTAAGGTTGTGTTTTGATGATTACGATGTGGACATTTTAAATAAATTTTAGAGAGAGAGCCCTCGTCAGATATGTCTTAGCCAAAGAATTCTTTTCCCTAAAGTTTCTTTTCTTTTGTTTTAAAGTTTCTTTTCTTTAAACTTTCCGTGAAATCTTTCAATGATCATAAATGTTCAAATTTTGGGATCTCTCAGTTATTTACCTTCCAGTTTGTACACTACTATGCTCAGTATTCAATTTATGCTATGTGGTATTAGATTTGTGCTATGTAGTATTCGATTTATGCTATGTAGTATTAGATTTGTGCTATGTAGTATTTGATTTATGCTATGTAGTATTCGATTTGTGCTACGCAGTATTCAATGTATGCTACGTAGTATTTGATTTATGCTATGTGGTATGCAATTTATGCTTCTATGCATGCTAGGGACATGGCTATTTCCACACATAGCCTTTGTAGTCTGAGGTTTTACATTTAGGCCATTGGGTCTCTTTATTAGTTTTTTACCACATGGTGTGAGGTTAAGGACCTGCTTTCTTTTTCCCGTAGCTGGTCATGTTCCGTGTGTCTTATAAGCATCGTCCTGAACAGACATTCCTTTACCATGCCGTCGCCGTTGACCTTGACAAAGATCAAGCTGTCCATTCAAGGGCTGGGCTTCTGTGCCCTGCATTCAGTTCCTTTCGCCGGTGCCTGTCATTGTGCCATCACGGAGTAGGTTTGACTACTGTGTCACAGAGGTGATTGTGAAATCAGGAACGGGGAGGCCTCCCACCGTATCCCTCCTCTTTCTACAGTGCTTTGCCCGCTTTCTCTGTAAACAGCAGCAGCGACATAGTGGGTTACATACTGAACTGTCTACTGCAAGGTCAGTAGTTCAAACCCACCAGCTGCTCTGTAGGAGAAAGATGACGTTTTCCACTCTCACTAAGATCCATAGCCTTGGAAACCCGCAGGGTCACTTTGTGCGCTATCCGGGTGCTGTGTTGGGTGTTGAGACCGATCTGACCTCCAGGGAACCTCTGTAGAGATGAACAAGATGCTGCCTGAACCCGCGCGATCCCCCACAACTGTCATCTCTGAAACCATCGTTGCAACACTGTGTCGACTCATCTTGTCAAAGCCTTTCTCCTTGACGGACACTCTACTTTATCCAGCATGTTGTCCGTGACCAGGTACTGATCTCCCCCAAACACACGTCCAAAGTACACGAGAAGGTCTCCCCAGCATGCGTCGACACAGCATGCTGGCTGCACTTCTTCCAAGACAGTTATCTGCCCTGTCGGCAGCCCATGGTACTTCCAATATTCTTCCCTTCCACCGGAATTCCAACACACGGATTCTTCATTGGAATCCATAGATGGCAGTCCTGTGTTTCCATAGGACGTTGGGGATTCACTTTTCCATTAAGAAATGCTGTTAAAATTTGGACTGGGATTGCATTATACATGAAGGCTTGTAGATAGGATATCTTCCCGAGGTTAGCTCTCCCTATCCATGAGCACTAAAGGTTCCTGTTTCATTTACCAGTGGTGTTTCCTACATCTCTTTGCATAAAACCTTTTAGGTTGCTTGTTAGGGTTTCTCCTGTTCCATCGTTTAGAGGGAGATTGAAAATGGTGCCGTTTCCATGATGAAGCGTGACCTTTTCCGCGTGCACTTTTTATTGGGGGAAAGCAACAGACGACTTCATGGTGTTGATTTTACCCTGTCACTTTGATGGAACGTTAGTGCCGGTTGCTTTCTTGCAAAGTCTCTGAGATTTTATGTGATCGGGTAAAATGTGAATGGAGGGTTCTTGCTTTTATTTTGTAACTTCTTACCAATCTGAATATTCTTGACGTTCTTTTCTTTCTTTCTTTCTTTTACTGTTCTCGGCAAGACTTCCAGTATAATATTGAGCAAGTGTGGTGACAGGGACACCCTAGTCTTGTTTCCACTCACAATGTATATCTTTTTAATCTCTCTCCATGGGGGATACTGCTAGCAGTTGGTTTTGTATTATGTGCCCTTAAGGATGAGGGATTTCATTTCTGTTCCTAGTCTGTTGAGTTTTTGCCAAGAGTGGACGTCGGGCTTCATTAAATGACTTTTCTGAGATTGGATAACCAGATAGTTCTTTTAGTTGGGTGCTGAATGACACCGATTGGTTTCGTAATGCTGAGCCAAAAACCAGTTGGTAGTGATGTATTCATCGTTTGCTACTACTGTTCAAGTTTAAGGTCTGGGATTTAAGCAGGGATCTCGATGAGGGATATTGGTACACTTTCAGGGATGTCTTTACCTGGCAGGGTTATGCTTCCTTTCCAGAATGGAATTCAAGAGAATTCTTTCTTGTTTCATCTTCTGAAACAGTTTGAATAGTGTGGTTTCAACTTTTCTGTGAATGCTGGGCAGAAGTCTCCAGTGAAACTGTCCAGGGAAACGTGTTGTTCTCCTTAGACTTTTCCCCCCAAGAGGAGCCCTGGTGGTGTAGTGGTTACGCCTTGGGCTGTGATCTGCATGGTCGGCAGTTTGAAACCACCAGCCGCTCCTTGGGAGAAAGGCTGAAAAAAGGGGGAAAAAAACTTCCCCCGTAACCTCATCAATCTATTTTGCTTGGCTGTGTTCAGACGTTCCTCCCAGTTTCTGTTAATTTGAGTAGACTGTATGATTCCAGGAATTTGTCCATTTCCTCAAGGCTTTCAAATTTGTGAGTGCACGCTACGCTGCCATTTATCCCGAACCTTGTGGACGAAGTTGATGCTGCTGTAATGACACTCGTCTCCAGCCTGACTTGCAATGACTTGCGATTTTTTTACTTGGCTCACGTTGGCAATGGTGGTCAACCTCAGGGCTCCTCCACAAAACCTACGTTCAGACTTGCTGATCCTTTCATCGCTTTTATGCTTTCTGACTCATTAGTTTTGCGCTCAATCTCACTTTGCTCTGAAGGCTCTGGTTTTCTTGAGACGCTTCTGTATTTGCTCGAGTGGCAGGGCCGAGGTCTCGATGGAGAACCTTGGTCCTCGTCCGTCGTATTTCCTGCTACAAATGGACTGACGGCCACGTTGGTGATGCTGCCATGGCTTTGAGGTTCGGCTTTCATTCTTGCCCGATGTCAAGAAAAATGTTTTTGCTTTAAGACGTGTTTAATTTTCTCTGTTACCGTTTCTTTGAAATCGAAGCGTCACTCAGGGCCCCGCTTTTGACACCGTCTCTCCGCTGTGAGTCCTTATGTGGGAAGTGAGGTGTGAGGACTGGCAGAAGGCTTTCCCACATTCCTTACATTCATACGGCCTCTCTCCGTTGTGAGTTCTTAGATGCTTCGTCAGGGCTGAGGAGTCGCTGAAGGCCTTGCTGCATTCCTTGCATCCGTAAGGCCTCTCCCCGCTGTGAACCCTCCGATGGGAAGTGAGGTGCGAGGATCGACTGAAGGCTTTCCCACACTCGCTGCATTCGTAGGGCCTCTCGCCGCTGTGGGTTCTCATGTGTGTGGTGAGGTGGGAGGACCGGCAGAAGGCTTTCCCACATTCCTGACACCGATACGGCCGCTCTCCGCTGTGAGTCCGCACATGTTTGGTGAGAGCTGAGGAATCGCTGAAAGTTTTCCCACACTCCTTACATTCGTAGGGCCTCTCTCCCGTGTGAGTTCGCCGATGCGTAGTGAGGGCTGAGGAGTAACTAAAGACCTTCCCACACTCGGTACACCCATAAGGCCTCTCTCCGTTGTGGGTTTTCAGGTGTGTGCTGAGGTGGGACGACTGACCGAAGGCTTTCCCGCACTCTCGACACGCGTAAGGCCTCTCTCCACGGTGGGTTTTTATATGTCGACTCAGGGAGGAGGCCATGCCGAAGGCTTTCCCACATTCCTTACACTCGTAAGGCTTACCTCTGCGATGGAGTCTTTTAAGGAGGAGGAGAGACGGAGGAAAACCGTATGTTTTCCAGCAGTCTGCAAACTCATGCATGTAACCTCTCACCTGAGTCCCAAAGGAAGAGACACTATACAAATCCTGCCCACATTCGTAACACGTCTCACCACTGAGGGATGTCAGAGAACTGTTAAGGTTGGACATATAGATAAAGTCCTTCCCACATACCTTACACAGACGGGGCTTGTTTCCATTAAGAGTTCTCATGGGAGCGGTGAGGTGACAAAAACAACGGCAGGATTCTCCACCTTCCTTCAACTGGCAGGAACGGCACCCAGCATGAAGTCCAACAGAATGGTGAAGCGGTGACGGAGTAACGAAAGCTCTTCCAGACCCATAGTGCCCAAAAGCACTTTCCTCTAGAGGATGCCTTTGTAGATCAGGAGGATTTGGGAACCAGCTGAACGTTTCCACAAATGGGCTGTGGTCTTTACTTCCCGAGAAGCAGTCTACTGTATGAGTCCTGTAAACACAGGCAACGTGATATTGGAAATAAATCTGTGCCCATTTCACTATCACTAAACATGGTGTAACTGCACAGCTAGGGCAATGGCTTAAATTGTGCTTCGTAGGTTACATCACCTAGCAAAAATACTTGTATTGCTATCACGTTGTCTAAAACTTGGGGCTTTCTGATCATTTTACCAAGTAAGGTGTTCAAATACTTAATATCTGATACATATGAAACTACTACACTGACAAATATTTTTAAAAAGAAAATGAAATTGGTTCAATACTACTTTTCACATCCAACATATAAACAACAAAATAGAGACAAAAACAGCAAGTTGAAAAACAGAAAAGAAAATGTTATACTGTGAAAACGCTGTGTACACGTCGTTTTGTAGGGGGGGGTTCCATATAAAGGGAATTAAAGTAATTCATGGAAAAATTAAATGAACTCCCAGTGGAATTTTTCCATGAGACTTTCAAAAGCCCCTTGGGAAATAAACATCTTACACCGAAGTATTTTTTAACGTTTCTGGGGGATCGCGCCTTGACCTTTTGGTTAGGATCAAGTGTAACGTTTCTGGGGAATTTCCCCAGAATTTTAATTTCTTCGGTCCATGCACTTTTTGAGGGTTTTTCAGATGCATAGGTGGCAGCCCTGCTATCGTAGAGGGTTACACGTGCATCTGCTAAACACGAGGCGACCAGTTCAAAACCTGCAGCCACTCCACAGGTGGAAGAGGAACTTCTCTGCTCCTGTGAAGACTGACAGTCTTGGAAACTCACTCGACAGGGTGGCACTAAACTGACTCAATGGCGGTGAAATTGGTTTGTTTTTTTCAGACATATATCCGTGTGTGCATGTACGCTTGTACACCAGAGTCAGCAAAGAGGGCTCGAAGAGTTCATGGGAAAATGGAATGAAAAGTTAATGGAATCTGTTCTCAAAATTTCCAAGCCTGCTCACATCAGGGTTCCCAATGGGTCAGCCTTGGTTTAACCAGGGCAGCGTGTGTATTACACAGCAACACAATCCGTTGCCCGATGGATTCCTACACAGGGAGCACACAGCCAGGCACGTACTGCACAAAGCTGGTGGATCACCACAACTCTGAATGTCCTGCCAATAATTCAGCCTTGTTCACGTGTCGCAATCGTTTTAGGAGCCTAATGTGGGTGACTGCATGATTCGATAGACTATGGAAAGCAACACAAACACACATCGGCGTAGTTAGACAACCAACTCTCAGTAGGGGCAGCTGGATGCTTCCTACCCTGTTTCCCCGAAAATAAGACAATGTTTTATATTGATTTTTGCTCCCAAAGATGCGCTAGGTCTTATTTTCCCATGAAGAAGAATACAGTACACATTTATTGTTTATTGTTTTACTAAAAGAGACCTCGCACTTCCTGTCTGCTCCGGCTGTGCTGCGGCCAACAGTAAGTTGTGCGGCAGCACCC